ATAAAAATCTATGGACGGTCTGTAAATAAAAACTATGCTTTGCCCTACGATGCAAAATTTTGTATCTTTAAAATGGTATCATTGTATTCCCATTTAACACAGCGATTTTTCAAATGTAAATTTGAGATCGATCTTATTTTCAAAACACTTCACTTAAAATGGAAGGAGGCAGATGTTGTTCACTTTGTTACTGTGCATGTCTTGTATCAAGAGCAGCCTCTGCACAAAACCCTCCTGCCACCCCAGCGCCTAATGGTTTTAGTGGACTGTGGCCACGTTCAGAGCGCAGAGCTGACCCACTTCAGTGCTGGTGGCCCAAGCTTGGAGACACAGGCAAGACTGCACGTGCAGCTCTTTTAGAAATTGTTGAAGCAGAGGACCTACTGAATGTGGTATTTTGCTCCAGTGATAGTCTGGATCCTGTTTCAGAATTTGGTATCAAAGGGAATTCTTTCACGTGTCCCTTTTTTGCCACCAGAAAAGTAACTTATTCCCTGTGGTTTTTTGCACAGTTGCTGTGGACATGCTCTGTTACCTGCTGGCTTCTAAACCCTGCCAATATTTTTATAGGCTTTTTTCTCTCTTTGTTTATAAGTGCTTTGGTAGTCATTTGAAGAGGTGTCAAGTAGCAGGTGAATAGCAGCAGGCTAAAAACTATTCTGTTTGTTGCCAGAAAGACAATGTCACTCAGAGGAGTTCACAGCAAAAGCAGTTCGCAACATCTAATGAGGGGAAGTAAAATTGACTTGCCTTTTTCTAACCCATTCCAACTGCATAAAGGAAACAAGCTCTGGCTTACCCTGCTGGGCTGGTACTTTTCCTGATTCTGGACAGCCAGCAGGTTTCCGAAAGTGAGTCATGTAGCATAACATGTATGATCACATACAAAGCAGACATTGCCTGTCCATGCTGTTGTGCAGAAAGGCAGGGAACAGAGAGGCAAAAGTTAGACCTGAAGACAGTATGCCCTATGATTTGCATCCTTGATGGCGGTGGGGAAGGAGTTTAACATCACCAGAGCAAGGCAGTGAGATCATGTTCATCTGTTCCCCTCTCACGTCTGGAACACAGCACAGCCACAGAGAATCTGGAGAAACTCTGCCAGGCTGCCCTGACGCTTCCTCTTGTGTGATCTTCCTTGCTAGTCTGACCTTTTTTAGTCATTAATTAACAATATTCCTGTGGCTGTGAGAACAAGTTTTTCCAGTACTCAGGATTTTGATTCCTCAACTTACAATATTTCATTTTATCGCCTCCCTGGCTTGTACTGTGTTGAGCAGTAGTAATGATTTGCCTGCTGCTTGTTGCCGTTTGATCTCCAGGTGTGAAAAGCTCGCTCAGGCTAACCAGACTGCAGATTCTTACATGGACCAGTGAGCGTGGAAGGGCCCTGCTCACGCAACTTGGCCATGACCTGGAGGAACCACCGTGAGATAAGCCACAACTGTTTAAGCTCATTCACTTGCAGTCTGTGATGGTGTTGGGGTTGCAGAAGGTACATCCACCAGGACCTTCAGCCCACACAGGCCTTTGGACAGCCCTCAGATGGTTTCCATACTAAAGAAGAAATCAACGTTAGTCCGGCCACAAAATCCATACACTACATGATGAAGCAACATTATTCTAAATCGGGCTCAATGTTTCTGAGATTAATGATTTTCCTTCCACAACACTGCGAGCCTCTGCAGAGCAGCCAGCAGCATGTATAATGGATTCCAGACTTCTTTAGTTATAATAATATTATGGCTATACATGGTCCTGTTTTTCTCAAGTAAATAATACAGTGATCTGCTAGGACAAAATGTTTAAACATCTTGGGCATGGTTGTACCCACTCTATGCTGTGACTTGCTTGATTTTTCTCTTTGACATACCTGTTTCAGTCATTGGTTTCATTGCCAATTCATGGCATTTAAACTACAGCAAGAAAAGAAATTATAAAATAAAAAGCACTCATATTTTTTTTAACCCAGGAAGATCCTAAACTGCTTTACAAACTATGAGTTAATCCTGCCATCTTTCTTGCGATAGTTTAACACTGTCAGTTCTCTGCAATAAGATTATCTAAAGTCTTCAGTGTTGCCGAGATGCTTGATGTGCAAGAATCCCTTTCGTATTATCATCAGGTAGTGTCTTCTAGAATGGGCGTGTTTTTAAACTGTGTTAGGACAGATGTACAGGAGGTTAACAACTTCAACATCTCTCATCATTGCAAACTGTTTTGGAAAATGTTTTTAACAGTATTTAAGTTTTTATGCCCTGGGATATATGCATATCTCACAAGATTAAAAAATGTATTTTTTTCTATTTTCAAAAAGCTCATCTGTAAACAGGAACTGATCTTATGGTATGACACCCAATATATATACACACACATACATAAGTGTGTTTGTGAGGTGCTAAAGAAAAATGCTTATTTACCTATGGAGGGAAAAGCCAGGATAAGTTTAGGACACATTAAAAATGCCAACACAAACCAAAAAGTTGGTTTTATAGACTGGAAACCTGCTGTTACCAAAGCATCTAAGAAGTTCATGTCACCATGTAGAAAAATGGAAATTCAGGTATAAAATACAAAAAGGTATTAAGCATGGATTAGGCAATTTTAAAACCAATGATGGAAATTATAAATCCAGTAACTCCATTGCACCTACTTCTTCACTGATAGTACGATTACATTTTGAGAAGACAGTACAAAGGTCATTCATCAAATACAGACTGCAGCAGAACTGGACTCTGAAACGAAGCTTAATTTCTATATACCAAAATTACCATATTTTCATGCATATAACCTGCAGATTATCTAACAGAGAAATAAAGAGCCAGGCAACCTCCTTTTACTCCCCACAGTCTTGGCAATTGCTGTAGTACACAAGTCTGTCCTTTTCTGAGGGAGCTGTTCAATCAAAAACCTCTTTCACATCCTAAACAGCCTGCCTGTGATCAGCAGTGCCTATTACCTTTTTCTTGGTATTTTTTAATGTGTTCAACTCAGAGTCATTTATGCACTTAGTTAAGGGGTTGTGAGTTTCAAAAGTTGCAGGTTATAACTTTGAAAATACAGCATCTCTTGTAGTGGTTTATGTGCTGAAATACAAGGGATAGATATGGTTTTGCTAAGGAAACATCTAATTATTTCTTCCATTGAGCAAGGAAAGGATTAGGAAAAGACGGCATTTTATGGGAACTGAGGAGGGCACAGACAGACAGTTCACTGGGGAAGGGGTGAGGATTACTGGAGTGACTTATCAATGCTCATCTCCTGCAAACACAGGAAAAGGAGCATATGGGATACGCTCACCTGATCCTAACATACATTGCCCGCTTAATGCTTCAAAAAAAAAAAAGCAAAGAAACAGAACAACAAAAGTCAGTAACGGAAAGTGCACCAAGCATCCTTCAAGAATTATTGAAGAGTTTCCTTTAACTGGTAATGGAATGGTAGAATTACCAAGTGGTATAACCAGGCTAAATTATTATTTTTTAATATATCTATCTATATATATATTCATGCTGTCACTACATTTTTATACATGCACACGTGTATTAAGCTAGAATACAATTACTGTACTACAAATGTTGGTCTTAACCCGTATAGCAGTTCTGATGGAAGACTGGGAAATCAATATGCAGAAAAAGCTGAAGGAATTACAAGAAGAAAAAAGGAGAGAAGAGGAAGAAGTAGTGACAAAAAAAGTGCTTACAGCCGAGCACAAGCAAGTCGCTATCTATCTGAAGTAACACTGTTAGGCTCTTGTGTTTGGCCAAGGCCTGCTAGAACGGTCTGTAAGTCTGAGCTGCACTGGATACATCCAGTACCGGCTACCGTGCCAAATGACTCCTTTCACTGATCCTTGTCCTTGGGTCAAACTATCACTACCTCTTCTGTTACCAAAAATCTTCAACCCTGTTTGCTCTAGATTTTAGCTTAAAATTAAAGGACAAGTTATGAAATAAAAGGACTACTGCTATCATCATCCCATCTGGAACACAGTACTACCCAAAGGTTTCAGACTAAGATCAAGATTGTGGCTTTATGTGCTCTACAGCTTCAGGAATCGCTGTCATCTTTTTCACCCTACTCAGATCACTTTATTTTGCCAAAACTCACCACTCGGCCTTCTGGAACATTTCTAAAACACACTGGTGACTCTACCCTCTCTGCCTCCTTCCAAAACTTTATGCTCTCTTGCCAAGAAAAAAGTCCCCACCTTCTTTCTTGACACCTTATTTAGAGCATCGTTTCATTCAGCTCTCTTCCTTTGCTTCTGTTTTCTTTGGTTAAAAACAGTCCAAAATGGTGCAATCTCATTTTGTCCCACGGCTATCAGTATTTGGTTTCTTCTATTTATATTGCATGTTCTGCTTGCTCCTGAAGTATGTGTCTCCCATTTGGTCTGGGGGTTTTTGGGGAGGGTTTGTTTTGGCTTTGTAGCATTTAACTTTACAGTAGCCTACTTGTGTCAGTCTGTCAAAGGAGATCAAGCTGTGCTTTTTAGGCTATGCATGTAAAAAAAACTAACCTGGTTTTCATGTTGTTTCTGTGTCTCATGCCACAAATAGCGTGGATTTGTGACATCTTGCATTGAAGCTATTTCAGTATTGCTATTAATACAATCTTTTAAAACCAGATCAACAACAGATACATAGATACACATAGCAATTAGTCTTTGACACCAGATTAAAATCAATTTTATAATGGTCGATGTAGAACAAAGATTTGTGGTTGGTTTGTACCACAGAGTAGTAAAACTATTTAGCATGGAAAAATGGCAGCATCTATTTCTCTTGAGAACAGTATTAAAAGATTACTTAATGTATTGCACAGTGAGAAATCACTCCTAAGTGGTAATTCTGTTAGACAGTTCATGATATAAAGAATTATGTGCTAGAAATGGTGCTGTTCAGCCTGAATTTGCAGGTCCTTCCAACTACAGGTGATTGTTCACCCTACAAAACAAGAGTTAAATAACGTATTGCAATATGGCTTAACTTACTTACCAGGCAGATGTACTCTGAAAAGACATCAGGGGTGGGCTTAAAGCATCTCCTTTTAATGTATGTACTGTCTGTGATGTTTGAGGCTGTGGCTGAGTCTGAGGCTGTGGCTCTGGCTGAGGCTGTGTCTGTACTTGGCTTGGATCCTGAGCAGGGTTAATCCATCGGCTCTGTCCCTGTGTCATCCACTTCCCCTGGATTCCCCACCGTGCCAGGTAAAATTTGCAAATGTCATAGTTCATTGAAGAGTAATATAAAAGGTCCAGTACCAGCAAGATCACCACAAAAAAGCCATAGATCCACACTCCTAACAGTGCACTGTAGTTGCTGTGAAAGAAAAAAAAGCGAAAACAAAAATGTTATGTATCAGTAACGGCCACCATGTTGATTTATCAAGGCTGGTTTTTTCATTAATTATATAAATATAATATACAGATGGATGAAACAAACATTTTGTTCTAAAGCATATGTCCTTAAAAATTATTTATTATTTCAATCTAAATACTGCTATATGCATGACACAGGAGGTTTTTAAAAACTAAGGCCCCTGTCTTACAAACATTTCTATTTCTCCCTCTCATCTGTGTATTTATATCAGCACATAAATTTGGTGTACAACTAGCTTCAGTGCTTTAAGTGAGACTACCGGTATGTACATGGCTGGTGGGCTGTATGTTTTATTCTGCAAATTTTTACTTCCAGAGAGTCACTCTCCCAAAAGTGACAGGGCATTGATGAGAGGGAGGGTTAACCATACGAAAAAATACACTGTAGTAATTGAGACTGAGGAGCATCTGTGCTATTGAAAATATTCACTGCTTGTCTTAAAAGGTGTTTAATGTGCTTGTATTTGCTCCAAGTTTAATAATTAATTATTGCCGGATACAGAAGATATTAATAGAAGTATAGGCTTTCAAGAGCAACTGCTAAAGATCCCTTAGTTTCCCGGTAATAAATTTGGGAGGGAAGAACATCGGCAAGATCATATTATATATACAATTCATTCCACAGGAAGGAAAATATGTACCACATTTATATGTATATGCTGGTATAGTTATAATGTGTATATATAGGTAAAGGCCATGAAAATTATCAGCTGCTGACATGGTGCACGGAGCTGTAAATCTATGACAGGTGACTAATGATATTAAAAGAAAGAGGGGGGAAAAAGGCAGAAAAGGTATAAGGGGTCAAGAATTTGGAGACGAAAAAAGAGAAGAAGTGCTAAAGCTCTGCTGGAGATGCAATATTATTAAAAGAAAAATGACTGTCAGGTGTAAATGCAGTTTAGATTGGAAACTGTGAGTGAGGAGGATGAGGTCAGAACAGAGAAGGAAAGAAAGAGGTAAGGAGGAGACTGTTAGGTATACAGTGAAGGTGGCTAATCTAGACCTACAAGCTAATGTGGAAGTATGTGTACCAGGGACTGTAAAAACAAGAGCAAGCAGAAGAAATACTAGTTAAAAAAATGTCATTAGGAAGGCAGTCTTGGAGGAAAATTATATCGAAGTAATAGGTGGTCAACCCACATCTATGTGAACCTGAACTTAGATGAATCAAATGGAACACACACTCAACCATGCTGTCTTTCACAGACATACCAGAACATTGATCAAAACAGAAAGGCTGCGAGAAGGAAAAAGGCTGAGAAGACCCATAATAGGTGCAAGCCAGGAAGAGGGTTTGACATTTTAAAAATGTGTCCCAAGCCTTTTTGGATCTAAAACATTTCAAGTCTCTGCTTTGAACTTTCGCTTCCATTTAAACTTTTGTATGACTTTTTAAATTTCATACTTCAAAATAATCAGGATTTGAAACAAGAAATCAGATAAGAAATCAAGAGTTTTAATTTCTGTGTTACTGCCTGCCAGCACTTAAGGAGACTGATTCTCCTCTCCAGGGAATGATTTTCCACTACACAGATAGAACGTTAAACTAACTGAGGATCCTTAGCAAGTAACTGTAAGTAACAAGGGGAAGGTGAGAGCTGTTAATGACTCCCTCCCTGTGTAACTGCAAGCCTCAGATTTGAAAAAATTCTCAGTAAATTTCCAGGAGGATTGGAAGTAGACAAAATACAGTGCTTCTGAAAACCCTTAACTCAAGAGTCTTTGCCTCTACTAAAAACTTCCACATGCCTGCCTAACTTCACACAACAGTGGGTAGACCTTTGTAATGCATTAACATTTTTGCAGTCCAGGCACTTCAAAGTGTAACAGGATCTGGTTAATTCAGGCTTCTCAGCAGTGCTACTCTTGACTTCCAGTGGATTTATTCCTATTGGGGTAAACTCTTCTATTTTCTGCTAATGTAAATAAAAGGGAAGTGAAGGCTGGAGAAGTCAGGAAGAAATCCATTGTAACAAATCCTGTTCTTCCTCACTAACGCCAATAGCGTCCATTTTACAAATAGGTGAGCTGTATTTGATCAACAGTAAGACTGGACATATTAGAAAACATGCTATTTTTGTTTTGGCAAGGAACATTTCTTACAGTTAACTCAAAAGAATTTGTCTGTATTTTAGGTATTTAGTTTCACTCATCAAAATTTTGGTTAGAAAAAATTAAAGGGTACGTTGAGTGTTCCAATTTAAAGCAGCAATTTATTAATCATGCCATATACAAGTTATCCATCTGCTCCTTCTCAGTAACATTCGTTTCTCACAAATACAAGAATGAGAGGCTGCTTTACTTTAATAGACAGTGGGACAACAGCACTATCAAAAGGGCCTTGTGAAAAATCACAAGCAAAATGAATAAGTAGTATGTTTTGTACACAGGGGGAAATTCCATACTTTCATGTTTTCTGTTTCTCAAACTATTAAGATGGTAGAAAATATTAATTTTGCTGATGGCTACTAATTAGTAAAAATGAAAACTTCCCTACAAATTAAGAAGATGTCTTAATTAGAAAATAAACATTCTTACACTGAATAACAGTAAGGCCAGAGACACAGACAAGAAGTGGGAATCAAAAAAACTCCTAGGATTGGCTCTCATCTCATTGAACGGAATGATTTAATTGTAAAAGTTTCATCTTGCAATCTGATTTTCCTGTACTTCTGTGGAAAAATTTCATTTCAATTCAAAAGAAAGTGTAAACAGATTCCAAATTTACTGAGATTCAAATTATCAAATTATAGGGGTTTGCTCCTTCACAGGGACAATCAAGTATAACAACTTGCTTTGGTACGGTTCTGTCTCCTCTGCCCTTCCCTGCTGCTGCTCCTGCCCCTCCCAAGCAGTCATTTTGGAGGTTCCTGTTGAGGTTCAACACCAGCTTTATCAATGTAACACTGAAAATGAGCTCTAAAGCTGCCTTGCCCTCTGCTGCTGCTGGCACACAAATGCAAAAGCTATATCTGGAGTAAAAGTTACAAGGCAATTTCGTTTTAGCTTCTCTGTGACAGGGTAATTCAGGATATCAGAAGAGCTTAGGAGCTCGTTATTTTAAGATACTTCATCTTTTATAGAAATACGATGTATATATGGTATATAGCCTTGTACAGAGCCCACTTGCGTAAATGGAAAGATTTTCTCTGACTTCAGGGAGTCTTGAATTGGGCTCTCTGAGAACAACAAAGACTTTTACCATCCATCTCCTCCTATTCCATCTACAGAATCCTGCTTAGATTTCTCTAACACCCCTCCACACAAATTAAAAGATAGGTTCTTTTATTATTATTCCTACCCATGTGGTTCCTTCCATCTAATTCATTAGCTTTTTCAGACGATGACAAGCAGGTTAGGACCAGGCTATAATTTTTTTGGAAGTGTTTGCTGGTTTTCGTGTGCAGCACATGAACAGAAAGTAATTCATTTGGGAATTCAGGCTTAAAATACCCAACAAATAAAAACAATTGTGAGCAAAATTCTACAGCTGCAGAGTTTAAGTGTAAGCAGATAGCCATGGAAATGGTTTCTTTCCCTCTTCTCCTTGAACGGGGCTGTTACTTGCAGCAGTAACGCTTTTAAGTGTTGCCCCAAGGAAAGGCAAGCTTACATCCTAGCAATGCCTCAGTACTTCTAACACTGGGGAAATCTGTGCAGTTTTCACATGTACACTTCAAATCAAATGGGATTTTTTTTTTCCTGTCCTGTGTTTTCTTGTAGAATCTGTTACTGTAGTACCTAAGAGGTCTTCCCAGCTAAATTACACCTTTTTGCAACATTTGGTAGTGGAAGTGATATTTATTTATTTATTTATTTTATTTTTTTGTGTTCCTGTAAAGATGACTTTCTAGGAGATACTTAAGCAAATGCCAGCTCTGCAGCGCACATGCTGTACATGGAGAAAGATTGTGCTATTCTGTCCTCACGTTGCTTTTGGTGCAGTGTTGTAGTGTTGTGTGCAAAAGCCATTCAACACGGAAAAAGTGGAATAAGAGGTAAGGAAAACCATGGATGCATTACAGACTGCCATAACACTGTTCCAGTATCAGATTAAGGACCCCTAGCATAGTAGCGCTGCTGCTAATCCACCAAAACATGCATCATAGAAAATCTGAGAGAGTATGAATACCAGATTCAAGTGAATACTATTTTTAAGAACAGTTAAACAGCTTATTAGACAAAGTTTTATGGAAAAATACTTTGGATGGCAGAATTATTCTTGTCTGTTAGACATCATTGGTATTTCTATATTTAATACTAAATGAATTGTTCACATTCAAAAATATTAGACTGATTAATCTGCATGATTGCAAAGATATAATAGCCCAGTATTCTGCACTTATAAAAACACAGAAATCTTTTGTTACAGTAATGGAAAAAATGTAAATAACCCTGGCTATAGTTATATTGTGTGACTGTAGAAGACAAATGTGTTTTTTCAGCTGTGCCATGACAAAGAAGTTATAAGTCACTTCATTAATTTTTTCCCTCAACTGTATTATAAACCAAGAAATTTATTTTGATGATCAAAAGAATGGCTAAGCAGAAAAATAAACCAAATAATAATATTGAAATAAACCAAATAATAATATTGAATCACTCTTCCCTGAAAACTATAATCCTTTTTTTTTTTCCCAGTTCACTGCTATTCCCATATCCTAAATCATTCTCCCCAGCCACAGTACAAGAGGTTTCATCAGAATTTTTTTCAGTGGTGTGTGAAATTAGATCTAAACAAAGAGCTGACTTTGTTACTGTAAAGTGAACCCTGGATGTATTAGAATCCAAATAAAGTTAAATTATCATATACGTTAAATAAAGTCAGAATGTATTAAGTAAGATGCGTTTTACAGTGTTTTTAATCTAGGCATCTAGGCTCCACTTCTTTCTGCCCCTCCACAGCATACTAAAATTACCAGGACGTATCAGTCAGCTCAGGGTGAGGAGATCTCTCTCCCTCTGTCTCACTACATGGGTGGAGTTTTACACCGAAAGTTAGCATCTCTTCATTTTCCTGGCCCTGATTTATCAGAAGTGGTGTTTCAGGAAGTTATAAAAAGGCAGTATCGGTTCCACTCTTGCACTTCTCTAAACTACACCTCCAGAAGCTTTTTTTTTGTATTTAGCATTATTTCACCTACCTTTGCAAAAGATCAGCATATAGCTAATGGCCACAGGAAATTCTGGACTGAAGACATATATCGTAAATTGCCTGCAGGTGGTTCTCAACCATGAATCTTGCCAACAAAGACTACAGAGAGGTAGCTCTTTCTCCATCACAACTGAATGAGGTAAAAGACTGCTAAATGAAAAGTAATATAATACTTACACTATGCTCTAAATATTTTCATTAAAATAAATACTGTAGTTCATAGAATACCAAATTACCTTTTTCCCTTTGAGGAACTGCTCACATACAACAGCCCTATAATATGAAGAGCCCTATGTTTATTTCTGCAGGGGCATGTACGTGTGCACATACAGAAGTGAGCGGGCATGCAAACAGAGCATGCAGGAGGCAGAGACATGTTCTACATCCCAGGGTATAGTTTGCCATCAGATTCTACGTGTCCCTCTGCACGTCTGCTTTGGGAAGAGGCTGGCTGCTCTGTCCATTTCAAATTGTTGGTGAAAGGAAGAACAGAAGGGCCTTGCCGTAGTAAGCTCTGGCCATGACTACAGCGAATAGCTGCTGAGATACTAGATAAAGCCTGAAGTGCGGGCTTTCTACTTGGTTGAACTCAACAGGCCAGTAAGATCCGAAACTCTGATGAAGCTGCCTGTTAGGCAGACTTGGTTGCTCAGCAGCATTGGTGCAGGGTTTACAGAACGGTAAGGGAAAAAATAAAGCAGGTTTGCTGTGTGCAAGACAAAGAACTGAGAAAGCGTGGGGGCAATAGCCACACTAGTCCATCCTTGAGACTCTCTTTTTATCACTCTCGAGTGTGACGCAGTTCTGGCTCTGTGTCTACACGCACAGCCCTTCTGTACTGAGAGTCCTGTGAGGACCTCTCTTCAGGCAGGCGTCCGACTGCTGCCGTGGGAGCATGGGTCATCCCAGTAAAGAAAGGGGGAGCACAGCCTGCCCTTACCGCAGAGCATGTGGAGTATGCATTGCACGGGGGCACTGGGACGTACCGCAGTAGAAACTCCACCAGGTTGCCTGGAGGCGTTTATGTTGGCAGAGTTGGGGAGCCCCAGGTGAGGGTGCTACCAGTTTCTAGATTGTCCGGACTGCACAAACGGTGGAGAAAACAGATGGCCTTTAATGGGCCTGTTAGACTCGAAGCGTCTCCCAGGCCTTCCGTGTGGTATGTTCTCCTGATGTTCCTAGATGCACTATAAGGCCACCGCAAGGAAATTTCACCTCAAGGACATAGCTGCACATACAGTAACAAGACAGTATAGATCTACATTGTTTTAAAGATATCTTACACGGGTAGAGTCTATTTTTGTCTTTCCTTTACACTACGCAGTACAGAGACTTCTTTATAGTCGGTGATTGTCACTTTAACACCTGCAAAGTTAAGAGTACACAACTTCTAGATCTATGCCAGAGTCAAACGTCTCCAGGCAGAGCTGTACGAGGAGTGGCTGGAAAGGGAGACGACAGTTTGCTGACTCCATGAGCCGGCTGCTGCTGGAGGCAGCTGCACACAGCGAGTTAGAAGAGCCGACATCAGTATTCCAGCACAAGTCTTCTCACAGCCTTGCACCTGCTTCCATAGGAATGAACGTCACCATACCGACTGACTTTCCCACCGCAGAAGAAAACACTAAAATCCCTGTTGTAAACAAGAATCGATAGACTGGAATTCCAGTTGTCTTCAATCTGCCCTTTCCTTTCCCCAGAGGGGTTGGTTACCAGAATAAAATGGCAGGGGAAAGCAGATAAATCAGAAATCGACCTTGGGGGTTTATATCAGCTGAAAGCTGCCCTCTGCACCAAGAGAAATTGCAGCAGATTAGTGTGGCCAGAATGTCAAATACTAAATAGGAGACAGACCACAAGTGAAGATTTTGTCATCCTAAATAGGCAATCAGTAACAAAGATCTGCTTGCTACTTACAGGTTCTTTAGAAAAAAAATTACAGACATTTATCTTAAAGGATAGGCCCCAGCAGTACCTGGAAGTATCCCAGGTGACAGGCAAGGAGACCACACACTGTTGGTACATAAGCAAATCTTGTTCCGTTCCCCAGGGTCAGTGATTATAAAAGATTTGTATTCCAAACATCAGAGATTCAAAATAGTGCATTTGGGTTGATATGGAAAATGTCAACTCCCTCCCTCTCTCCCCCCCACGGACAGCTTTGGGGTTTATTTTTACTGATACACATTTAAACATAGTTTGGATCAGACTGGGGTCAGGGGAGAGACTTTTGTAACTTTTATATGTAACTTTATATTTGTTACATCTACATGCAACTTCTACATACATACACTCCCAGCAATGTTTATAGCCCCTGTCAAAGCAAAGAAAGCAAAGCTAAAATACCCTTTCTTTTCAGAGTTCTGTAACAGCGAAAACCTTTTAGTAATGGTTTTCCTGTATGTGCAATTATTTTAATTGCTTCCATCATGAAGTACACCTCTGGCTATGTTATTAGACCAGGAACAGTTTGGTGAAGAGTACTTTAAAACTCATTTACTTACTTATGCATATATCCATCTGCGTTCCCCGTTAAGTTCATCTGCATAACAGTCTGAAATTCTGTCTCATTGCAGCAGTATTTAAATACTGTGTTGTTATGGTGACAGCAAAAGATGTAAGATTTATTGTCAGAGAGACGGGGGCAGTGAAAACCAAAGTGGTAGCGACCTTTGTAGTCCGTATATGGCTCGCAGACCCGAAAATGTGCGGACAACACTGTAAAACAAAGAACAATATTGGCTTTGTGAGTCACTTGTGTTATCTGTATTTTATGAACTATAATTTTTCATTGGTTAAGCTTGAACAATAATTGTTAGATTTCTGAAAAACATTGATACTTCAGAACTTTCAACATCATAATATTTAGTACTAAAAGATTACAATATTTAGCCTCTTGTTGTATTTTTAACTTTAATTGTTACTATGTTTCTAATTACTGGGTTTTTTTAAGGGAAGAGAAGAAATGCCCTCCATGCCAAGAAGCACAAAAATATTTAGGGAAACGTTTTCATGCTGCTGTTCTAAATATATGGGTATCCATAAAAACCCAGCAATGCTCATGTTTGATCCTCCTGGGATGACTTCATAAAAACAAAAAGTCTACGTAAAAAGTGCAATAAATTTTGACGGCACTTGATTTACAGTCACTGTTCTTGACAGAAAGTATCTTCTCTACTATAAAGGTCATTCTTTGATAAGGATTATTCTGCCAGAAATAGTAATTACAAAACAGTATAACAGCTCTGAACAACTCTGAATTTACAAATAAATAGAACTAATAGAAATAACAGCTATTCCTGGGAGTTCTTACACTTCTCCTTCATCAAATTCTCATCTATAGTGTTTTATTACATCTCCGAGAACATTTTTTACAGGAATATGTCACACTGATTTCACCATCACTTTTCCTGGGGAAAAAAAAACCAACTAAACAAAGAAAAAGAAATGCTCTCCATCCGTATCCTTCGAATGCAGACTTGAGGCTGGCGGTTGTGTGGCAAGAGGCACGCTGTGGTGACACCTCCAGGGTAAGACAGTGGGCAGACGCAGGCTCTCTCACCGCGCGCTAAGCCGACCAGTTGCAAACAGCTCTGAACTGGAAGCTGTGCAATCACCTTCGTTTCCCTGAGCTAATCAGCGGTGCAGAGGGGCAGGGTATAGATCCCTTCCCGTGTGGTCATAAGCAACCACACGCGACTTCGTGGTTGGTCTGAAAAGTCCAAGAGCTAAGAGACAATACTGGGTTCCACATGCTGCCAACATTTTAACTGATTTGTAGTTATGATAGGTCTTATGGCATCATTTAAGATTACGTGTACTGTACAGACCCCCCCAAAGGCCTTACACTCTAAGGAAAGTGAAATGTAGAAGTCAAGAGTCTGAATACTCTTAGCAATGAAATGTTTTTACTCTGATAGAGAACAGGGGCACAGCGATGCTGTGGGTAGCTGCACTGCATAAGGTTACACCAAGTAATAAAGGATATTCACTTCAGACTGCCAGAATTAACCCCTGTAACTTAGTGTATGATTTTTGTATCAGTTTACTAGTACAAGAGGTTACAGATAATGACTTGCATGGATTTAGCTTAACTACATTGTATCTCTCTGCACACAGTCCCTGTTGATCTGTAATTGCATCTGTGCACCTTATCCATCCAATCCTCATTTCTTTCTACGTTGCTTAAAAAAGCCTGTTCCTAACACTTTTGTTTCTCAATTTTATAAAATATATTAATTTCAAGAATCGCTGTCTCTCTAGGTCTAGTCACATTTTAAGGATTGTGACAGTGGAGATTACTTCTTTATTTGTGCATATAGAGGGAGCCTAGAACAAAAACCAGAGTACTAAACTGAAGAGAAAACAAGGTAACTTGTACTGCCCTCTGAGTGAAGGAAAACCACTCTAAATATTTTGCATTTATTTCTATATACATACACACACACCCACTCTGGCATATGC